TTTTTATAGAGAATTATCGAGTTAGAGCGCGGTGATGTTTTTGTTATTGCAATTTTATTATATACTATTTTATTGCTTATGATGGTGTTGGTGTGTCATGTGTGTAGTCTTAATGATACGATTGAAGAAGAATTAGTCTAAAATAAATTATCTTGGCTTGGCAGATTGTCTTGCTGCTTCGGCTTGTTCCGTTACTTCCGTTTAACATGTTGAACTACCTTTTATCCGTGACTCCAGTTTCCATATGGGAGTACATGATGGCTTCATGGTTGGGAATGATGGTATAATTATCACTTCACTCAAACATTTAATTTATATATATATATATATATATATATATATATATATATATATATATATATAACCATGCACTGTTTTGATACTTATACTTATGTGGTTATATATATATATATATATATATATATATATATATAACCATGCACTGTTTTGATACTTATACTTGTGTGGTTATCAGCCAATTACCTTTGCACTTGTGTATGTTGGAACAACTTTGAAGGACCTGGCTGCTGTTACTCATGAATGGAGTCAATTCTCAAAAACTCGTTTGGTAAGATATATGCCTATGCCTGTTTTATCTTGAATATTTTTTATTTTTTCATTCATGCATCTCATTAGTTGTGTTTGTGTTTTGATACTTACACTTATGTGTTTGTGTTTGTGTCAATAGGAAAACCTTAGAAAGTTTGTTCTGTCTCGTCTCCTAGAATTAGTATATAATTATCTAATGATGTTTGATGGTGTATGTGATTTGAATTGTGAGAAGAAATACCAAAAACGCAACAAGAATTATACAGTACAACTTTTAATAATTTAGTATTATTAGTAAGGGATTTTCTAATATGTGCCCTAAAGGCACATATAAGAAACATTAATTGAAGTATTAATTATAAAAAATGTTACCTTAATTAAATGTGATAAACATTAATTATAAATAATATTATTTATAATTAATATTTATCATATTTAATTAATTAAATGTGATAAACATTAATTATAAATAATATTATTTATAATTAATATTTATCATATTTAATTATGGTAATATTCCTCATATTAACACTTTAATTAATGCTTTTTATATGTACCCTTAGGGCACACATTAGAAAATCCCATTATGGTATTTATCTTATTATTGATGTTTGTTTTTAAAAGTTTCCTAATTTACGTTTAGGTCAGAATAAATTGGGGAAGTTACGTTATGATTGGTGATCTCCCTTTATTTTTTTTCTTTTCAAGATTGAATTGATTTCCATTATGTATGTGATTGATGATTGATCTCTTTTTAGACCATCCATCTATATCTCGCATGTGTAATGTAAATAAATAAACTGTCTGATTGAAAATTTTCTTTTTGGTGTATGCAGGCACTAGTTGTTCTAAGTTTTGTGGTGTCTGGTAAGTTCCTTATATGACATGACATGATGTCACTGGGACAAAAATTGCAAATTTTCATTCCACGCAAAAAGTGGGATGTGGACATGGACTCTCCTATCCTCATTATTGAAACAAGAAACAACGTATTTCCATTTATTAATTTATGATAGCATTTTATTTCCACTCTTCATATTACAACACTCTACTTTCCATTTTTTTAAATCTTATTTAAGCTATTGTACTTTCAAAAATCCACCCAATTATTGGGCCATTGTACTTGAGAAAATCTACTCAAGTGGAGCATGGCAGTAAAATTGGTTTGTATTTTGATGAAAGCTGCTATCCTACATTGGGTATATTTTTGAAAGTATAATAATAGGAAGAAATAAAAATTATGCTATAAGGAACAAATAAATGAGAACGAGTTGCTATTTCTTGCATATTTAACCCTTGTCGAAAATAGCCCTAGAAACCTTGTTCATTTAGCACTGAAATTGGTTGGTTGCAGTGGTGTTGATGGTAGTTGTGACTAAAGTTGCAAAGTCGGCTCTTGAGAAGGCTTTGGCAGAAGATGTGGATATAGCTGTAGTAGATGACATCGGCAGCAATTCATCCACTGTTGTAGATCTGCATGAGCCGCTGCTTGTGCAAGATTAGATTGATATTCATTCTTCCAAAATTTCTCTCTATTCATGTATGTATAGTCTACAAACAAAAGATCAAAATTACTGTAAATACATAAGTCATTATTTGTAAGCTAGAGTCAGATTTTATTTTAGAAAAATTAAATACCATCCTAGTTTTTTTTTTTCTTCCTACTCATATAAAACAATGACATATGGAATGCATTAATTTCCTTCTCTTAATTTCTTTTCTTGATTTTGACACTTGTTTTGATTCAGTAAGTAGGAAGATTAGTAGAAAGAAAAAGTATGATGATATCTGATTTCTTTTTATTTTATTCTTTGTACTACATTGTATTGGGTTCTCTTTTTGCACGATCAAATTCGTGTATAAACAATGATTAAAAAATTGATTTAATCTGGACAATGAGTCTCATCGTATTTGTTTTGTTGATTTTAATTCTTTTTATGTCCTTTTTAATATAACTCCTGTAACTTGTATCTAAGTTTCATCCTTGCATTTTTTTTTAAAATTTTTTTATTTTCACTTCAAAATCCAATAACTTGATTATTTATATATAAGTAAAAAATTAAGCTTATAATCTTAAATTTTATATCTTAAATTTAAGTTCAAAATCCAGTAACTATGTACATTAATATTAATTTATTAAAATATAAAAATCCAAAATGAGTATAAATTTTAAAAAGCTATCCTAATAATAAAAATCTTTATCAATTGGTAACGTTCCGTATTTTATTTCTAGTATTGCTATAATTTAAATTCATTTTTAATAAAGTTTTTTTTTTTCTTTTCTAATTGTTGATGATACATTTTAAATTTACAATTTTAACAACCAACCAATTTATAGCATTTTTAACTCATTTCTAGCGACACATTTAACCATTTGCATATATAAGGAAGTTCAATGGATAATTAAATTTATGGTAGGGAATCAAATGCTTTTTTTCATTCACATTAACTATTTACAACAAATTTCATATGTGTTTAGGTATGACTTGTCTAAAAGAAACACCAAAAAAAAAAAAATGAAAAAAAGTTATGCATGGGAGAATTATCTATAAATTTACTCACAACCACACAATATAATAGAGATCATAAAGACGTAACCATGCAAGACACCCATCCTAACATGTGAATACTAAAAATAATAAAAGTAATAGTGAAATTTCTAAAAATTTGAAATTAAATCAAATTAGGAGTGAAATTTTATAAATTTTGGATGATTATAATAATAAATGAAAGGTAAGCAAACTGATTCAAACTTGGGATCTTTAGTTTGATAAACCAACATTTTTACCATTAGACCAAATTCCAATTTATCTTTATAACCCAAGAAATACGTGTGTGTGTGTGTATGTGTGTGTGTGTGTGTGTGTGTGTGTATATATATATATATATATATATATATATATATATATATATATATATATATATATATATATATATATAATTAACATAACCAACTTTAAAATCGAGGGTCCTAAGCCATTGTTAAGCATTGCAAAGGAATGCGTATATTATATAAAAACATAATATAATGAGTTCGGATACTTAAGTTAAAAAACCTTCTATGGTATATTCATTTCTCTCTCTCTCTCTCTATATATATATATATATATATATATATATATATATATATATATATATATATATATATATATAAACTAATGTTTTAGAAAACAACGATTGTTTTCAAAATCAATATAAATATAATGGTATTTAATATAAACTAGTAGAGAACCCATGCTTTGCACGTGGTAAAATTGTAATTGTACAAATAGGACTTAAAGCGACAACAAACCAAAACCATTGTTGCCAAAATCTGTTAAAAATTACAATATATATTAATGAAAAAATCACATCATCATCAATTTTGAATAAATGATTTTTACGAGGAAAAATTAATTTAATATATTAAAAGTGGTCAAATTGCATAAATGTAATATATCAAGTCAATTAATTCTTCATGTAAATGTAATGAAAAAAATCACATCATCATCAATTTTGAATAAATGATTTTTACGAGGAAAAATTAATTTAATATATTAAAAGTGGTCAAATTGCATAACTGTAATATATCAAGTCAATCAATTCTTCATGTAAATGGAACCGGATTCGTGTAATTAGAATTACCCCTTTGTACTGCATGCCTAGCGGAATGACTCTCACATATCACTTCATGGGTTGGACTAAACTAAAACTCGTGTCGTCAGGATAAAAGGTGTACAACAAAAAAAACATGAATTAGTAGGACAAAAGTTCAACATCTAAAAAGGTGAAAGAGACTCATTCTTAATTTATGTTATTTATTATTGCTAAAAAATATTCTTAGATAATTTGTCTAGTTTTTCCCCTAGTGACAATAATGTTGGTGAATTGTTTCACCAATTGTATTTAAGTGTACCTCCGATGAACTGTGGAGATTGGAACTCCTCGAAACAGCTCACATTGGTTTCACAGTTTGGTGTTTTACCTGTCGGTTAAAGCTGTTATCTAGTGGTTACATCAGAAATCCGAATTATTGAATATGGACCTGATTTTTGACCTTGTATCTATCCTTATTAAAATGCCTATTTTTTTGTGGCAGTTTTAGTTTTAGGACAAAAACTATCTTGTGACTACTTTCAAACAAGTGACATACTTAACTATATTTTGGTCAAAATTTTGGTAAACACGAGAATTATAGCATCTCATTCTCTACTTCTGTTTTCTCTCATTTTCTGAGTCTTATCCAATTGAGGATCTGAGAGTACTATCTAAATACTTCGATTTGAAAGTGTATAATACGATTCTCATAATTCCAAGTGCCATTCTTACCCCAAAATTCTAATAAATCGAAGTATTTATGATCATGGCAAGTGACGATTACGTGAAGTACATGACAAAAAAGCTTGACAAACTGAACAAGTTTGAAGGGCAAGATTTTCATAGATGACAGAAAAAGGTGCACTTTCTTCTTATTACTCTAAAAGTGGTGTATGTTCTGAGTATACCCATGTCAGAATTTGCTAAAGATGAAACTTTGGAGTAGGGGGTGAGCATAATAACCGAAAAACCGAACCAAAATCAAATTAACCGATATAACCGAACCATTTTAAAAAGGGTAAATGGCACAAAAAACATTATTTTTACACATAAATTTGATTTTGACACCGTGTTATTTTTTGTATCAATTTTGACACTGTGTTTTCTAATTTGTTACAATTCTGACCACTTGACCAGTTAACAAGGTTACATGCTGACGTGTTAGTTTTTGTTGACGTGACATGCTGTCATTATATGCTGACGTGTCAAAATTGAATTTTTTTCTCACAAAAAACACTAAGTTTTCATTTTTTTCGATTTTGACACTAAGTTTAGTTTTTTCTTTCAACTTTGACACTATGTTTTTTTGTTCCAAATCGAACATCATTTTTTCCAATTTTGTTCAATATTGACAACTTTCTATTCGAAACCGTATAAATATTTTTTAATACATTTAAACCGTATAAATATGTTTTTTTTTTCATTTAAAAACCATAGTTTTGTATAAATACATTTTTTTTACACTCAATCCATATTTTTATATATAAATATGTATTACTTATATAAAAATTTTATTTTATATTAAATATGCAATTTTAAAATGTGTTTGGAGGTTTGGAGGCTTGTAGTCGATCAAAACTCAGATATTAAGTTTGAAATCCATCAAATTTTTACATCTTATTAGAAACTTATTGTTAGTTTGATTTTCATGATATAACTAATGCTTTGAATGTAAGGAAAAAAAACATCTTGCATTTAAATAAAAATGTGGTTTTTAAACAAAAAAAATATGTTTATACGGTTTAAAATGTAATAAAAAAATATATTTATACGGTTTCAAATGGAAAATAGACAAAATTGAACAAAATTTGATAAATGATGTTCGATTGGAACAAAAAAATATAGTGTCAAAATTGAAATAAAAAATTAAACTTAGTGTCAAAATCGAAAAAAAGTAAAAACTTAGTGTTTTTTGTGGGAAAAAAATCAATTTTGACACGTCAACATATCATGTCAGCATGCCACGTCATCAAACTGACACGTCATCATGCCACGTCAGCATATAACCTGGTTAACCGGTCAAATGATTAGAATTGTAACAAATTGGAAAACACAGTGTCAAAATTGACACAAAAAAAACACGGTGTCAAAATCGAATTTCTGTATAAAAAGAGTATTTTTTGTGCCATTTACCCTTTTAAAAACCGTTGGTTCGGTTTTTAATTTTTGTTAATCGATAACTAATGGTTCGGTTATGGTTTTATAGGTTAACCAAACCATTATTAACTGAACCGCTAACTTTATATTTTAATATATAAAAATTATAGATTATATATAAACTAATATAGTCAAACTTATTTAAGTAAGACCCATTAAAATTTGAAATCTAATCCATTAATCCTCACTTATTAGGAGACGAGTGAGCAATCAAAACATCAAAGGACGATCACGCAAACACACAATCTTCCAATCATGCATTGAGTTAGATTATTGATTAATGTTGTAATTCCTAATCGGATCATTCTACAATTTGTAAACATTATTCACAATTAGTTTAATCTTCACACTCATAATCCTAATGGAAGGCTTCTCACACCGTTAATCCTAATCAAAGATTCTTTTGACTTTATAGTCCTACTGGAAGGATTTTTTGACTTTATAATCAAGACTTCTAGGTAAGTTAAGTTCTTTGTTCTTCTTGACTTTGTGATATATTAAAAATATTTTTTTTGGCTTTTTTTATTTACTGTTTTTGACTTAATTACATTAAATATATACGAGTGATTGACATTTTTTCATCCAAATAACACATAATATGAATGTTTGGCTCTTTTATTTTACAGTTTTTGATTTAATCGCATTAAACATGTATGAATATTTGGCTTTATTTTAATGTTTGGCTATAATTTAATGTTAATAATAATTATCAATATATGAAATTATTAATGTTAGTTTTTTTTTTTAATATTTTATATTTTTATTGAATGTTTTTGATTTTGAATGTGACTATGTGTTATCTCACTTCGAGTATCAAAGGTACACATTTTATTCTATTACTATAAGTCAGGTTACAAACATTAGCATCGAGAACTTTTTTGTATTCTCTTTTCATTTTTATGCCAATAATATACTTTCACAGTTTATATTATTTTGAACATTGTGGTTAACCAATATTAACCATCAACCAAAACCGTTA